CACAGAAACATAGCAGAAAGAGAAAGGGTTAATAAGATTAAAAATAAAGGAGGTAATAAGCAGTATGAGCTGCATTCTTGAGAGATGATTTCATGTAACCCCCTAACAACTGTGTGGAGTTTCATTGTCTCCCTTTCAAAATTAGGAAACTAAGGCTGAAAAGAGCTGGCTGAGTTTTGCCATGGTCTCACAGGAGGGGACAGCATCTTCTTGACACCACAGCCCAATCTGTCTTCATTGAACCCTCCCAGGTTCTAGCTCAGACATCTCCTAGGATGTCCATGTCAAACACACTTCAGAGAGTAACCAGCAGATAAGAGTTTCCTGTTTGTGTGTGTTGTGGTTAGCAACTGGAAAGTTGGTTCTAAAAAGTTCATTTTGCAAAGGCTGATGCTCACAGGCTGGAGAGCAGATTTAGAAGATTCGTGGTGGCATAAAGGCGGCTCTTCCTGTCTTGGGATCAGCTAATTAGTTATTGAAGGTGGTATATTCTAACTTTGGAGAGATGGAAGATTGGGAGTTTCAAAAACCTTTGCAGATGTTGACCTTGCAGAGCTGAGCAAGTGTCAGTTTTTTTTTCTTGCAAATAGTACAACTTTCCTTATCTACCATGGAACAGATCTTAATAGAGGACAGACGTTTGTGGCATGAGGTTAGTGAATCTTAAACTAAACAATGTATGTCCCTTGGGTGTGTGGGATTTCTGAAGAAGAGACTTTATGCACATATTTAAAAGTAGCAGGAAATTATAGAGCAGCCTCCTTCACCTGAGGGGACTGAATCCCAGAGGGAGCTGGTGACTTAGCCAAGAGAATAAGTAAGAGCTAGAAGGACAGGTCTCTTTCCATTCCTCCAGGGTACTCCTTCTATAGCCTAAAATGCAGCTGATGGCTGACTAAGCCATGTGTGTATATATTTTTTAAATAATGCTAAAGTCCAATCAAATGTGGTAATTGTGGATACTACACCTATAGATGTGGATGTGAGGAGACTATGTACAAAAGAAAAGAACATTTAACTATTAGGTCTTCAATGACAAATGCTCCCCACCCTGAGCCTTCCAGGGACATTCTTCTGAATCATTGAAGATTGATTGCTGTAAGAGCTTTCAAACCCTTATCTCACTAGGAAAAGGTCTTAATGTTGATAAATTTAAGTACATACCACTGCTTTGTTGTTAGGTTTATGGGAACCTTGTAAATACTTTAAGAATGCTTTGCTTTGTGTGAATCCATAAAAATGAAAGAATATGACCTAGGAGGGAGGAATTGAAGTAGGAAAAAATTCTTATTTCTTTTTAATATTCTGAAATACATGTGGCTTTATTCAACCATAAGGTAAACAGAGCATGGAATTTATCAGGAAAAAAAAGTCAAGAAGACTGGTTGTGCAGCTTTTCTTATTTCAGATATTAATGAATCAAAGAGAAGTAAAATTTCTATTTACCTGAAGATATTAGATGTCTGATATTTAAGAACATTTCTATATTCTCATTTTATTTTACATTCCTGGAAATGTAGTTTTTCCAAACTTTTTATTGGTACATTATAGTTGTACATAATGGTGGGATTGTTATGTATTCATACATTCACACAGTGTAATAATAAAGTTTGGCCAATATCATTCCCCATTCCCTTTCTCTCTCTCTCTCTCTCTCTCTCTCTCTCTCTCTGGTGGTGGTGCAAGCACTCTACCAACTGAGCTATATCCCCAGCCCTATTTGCATTCTCAACCCTTCTCCCTCCCCTGGTCCCTTTACCCTACTGATCTCCCTTTGATTTTCATGAAACGCCCCCCCCCCTTTCCTTTTTCCTCTCTAGCTTCCACATAAGAGAGAAAACATACAGCCCTTGGCTTTCTGAGTTTGAGCTTATTTTCTGAACATAATGTTCTCAAGTTCTATCCATTTTCCTGCAAATGACATCATTTTATTCTTCTTTATATACCATGTTTTCTTTATCTTTTCATCCGTTGACAAACACCTAGGCTGGTCCCATAGTTTATTATGAATTTTGCTGCTGTAAACACGGGTATGCATTTATCACTGTAGTATGATAATTTTAACTCTTTAGGATAAATACAGGGGTGTGGTATAGCTGGGTCATATGATGGTTCCCTGACTAGTCTTTTGAAAACACTTCACACTGATTTCCATAGCTCTCTTAATTAATTTATAATCCCATCAACAGTGTAAAAGAATTCGTTTTTCTCCACGTCCTCTCCAGCATTTACCATTTTTGTATCTTTTTTATTTTTATTTGTTCTTTCTAGTTATGCATGACAGTAGTCCATTTTGATATAATTATACTAGCATAGAATATATTTTATTCTAATTAGGAACCCAGTCTTGTTGTGATGATGCTGAGACATGACTGCCATTCTGACAGGGGATGAAATCTCAGTGTATATGGCTTTTACTTTGCATTTCCCTAATTGCTAAAGATGTTGAGCATTTTTTCATATATTTGTTGGCCATTGTATTTCTTTTGTGACTGTTTAGCTTATTTGCCCATTTATTAATTGGGTTATCTGGGGGGTTTTGGTGTTAAGTTTTTTGAGTTCTTTATATATTCTGGATATTAATCCTCCATCAGAAAAGTAGCAAAGATTTTCTCCCATCCTGTAATTTCTCTCTTCACATTCTTAATTGTTTCCTTGGCAGTGTAGAAGCTTTTTAATTTTATGTCATCCCATTTACTAACTTGACATTATCCTGGAAATATCATTTTATCACAATAAAATTTATGGAATTTTATCTGATTTTACTTGCTTTCAAAAATATCTACAAATAATTTACCTGTATATTTGGCATAACAACATGCTTGTTGATTTTAACAACCCTAGGCCACATTTTAAATAAAGTAACTTTTCTAGGGATTTCTGTGAACACATCATATACACAGTAATGCCTAGCAAGGGTATTATTATTATTTTTTTAATTTCAAATAACTTCCTCTGCGCGCGCACACACACACACACACACACAAATGCTTTTTTTTTTTTTTTTTGAGCTGAAACCCAATCCACTTAGGCAGTAAGAAAGAAAGTACCGCGGACCTCACTTGTGCCCGCTGCGACAGAGCAATACGGTAACTGCAGGAGATTACGGTACTAGCTGGGCTACAGCCCGTGTTACGTCAGCGAGAGCTGCAAAGTTCCTTGCCCGTTCTTCTCTAGTGTCGAGGGGCTGAATATTGAAAGGGTGATTGTGGAGTTGTTGGTGACTGTCGGTTTTTTTTAATTATTATATTATTTTCACTTTATTTTTAAATATCCAGGTATAGTGGTAACCAAGGAATTTGAAGGCATCGGTGGTAGAGGGGTGAGTCAGCGGGTGGAAGAGGACTAGGATTTGGTTCCTCGGAGAGACGGTCCCCTCTTCCCACGCCAAAGAGGCGGCAGGCGGCTCCGGGAACTGAAGCCCGCCCGCTCCTCCCCAGCGCGGGAGCGGGTGCTGGGCACCGGTGAGTGCGCGGCGGCAGCCTGTGCAGGCGTGCGGCAGGGCCGGGTGGGCGAGGCAGACTCCCCTGGCCTGCAGGTGAGTCGGAATCCCCTCTACCCCAAAGCCTCCCGCTTTTGTCGCCCGATTTACACCAGCACCGCTCCCCACCCGGTTTCCCTCCTGTATTCTGGGAAGTTATCTTCTAGTTAACAAGTGTCTCTGGCCCTCTAGGTATTGCCCCGAAGTAGGAGAGGACGGGTTTCTGCAGTGGCAAGCTTTTACCATCACCTGTGACGGCCTGAACCCGTGGTTTTCACTGTAGCCTTTGCCGGGGATTCCCGCCTCAGAACTCAACCCCTTAAGGCAAACTGGGCACGTCCCCCCGCCTCGCACTCGCGTCCCAAGTCCCTATGGTCGGCTCGCAGTGAAGGAAACCCGGTTTTCTCACGTAGATTATGGTCCCCATCCCAGAAAATCCGAGCGTCCTCTGCCCGCTGGCACGCGGGCTTGATTTTTACGCCTACAAAAATCCGCATTGACTGCCTCTTGCAAAGCCCCCTCTGCAGAGTAATGCGCTCCCCACCCCGTTCCCCAGCAGTCCGGGTGTGGCTCCCGACTGGAGCCTCTGGGGCGGCCAATCCTGCGGCTTGGAAACCCAGCCAGGACCGACCTGACCTGGGTCCCGGTCAGCCCTCGGGATCCGCTCGGTTTTGCTGCGGACCTGGCTTCCAGGCCCGCGTGGTTGGTGAACCCGCTAGCATCCCGCATCCCGGAGTGCGAATTCCTGGGGCGTGAGCGTGAACGTGCGCGTGGCTCTGGCCCTGCGCTTTCCGGGTAGCAGAGGTTCTCTCTCCCAGGCCGCCCCCTCCAGGTGACTGCGTTGCAACCTGTTCAAAAGACTAAGGGGTAGATCCTCTGGATTCCACTGGCTTTGGCTGAGCGCTACGCACGCCAGCCGCAGTCGCGCCTACCGGCTTAGGGATTTTTTTTTTCCCCCGCTGTAGTGGCGCTCCGGGTCCAGTCTCCGGGCACTACAGCTTGGATTGCTATTGATGGGGGTTGTTCGGGGGTTGGGGCGGGTGGTTGTTTTGTTTGCTCCCTCCTCCCACTTTGGATCTTGAACTTGGCCAGAGGCAGCCAAGCAAAGCTAGAGAGGGCAGGTTCCCGGCTGGGGACTGGGGGAGGAGGAGGGGCGTGCCGTCCACTCCAGTGTCGTCTCGGTTTGGGCCGGGCAAGGCGGCTTCTGGCGGGGCTGCCAACTGGTGTCCGCAGTGCCTCGCTCCGCAGGGCGCCTGAATCACCGTCCACCTTTGATCTTTCAGGAGGGCGCAGGAAAAGAAGCACCGACGCGGCCACGGTCTCAGCAAACGTTTCACCCCTTTTCTCCCGCCTGCGTGCCTAGAAGCTGGAGCTAGCAGGAGCCTACGGTGGGCCAGGAAACCCAAGGATAACTGAGGGCCGTGAGCAACGACCAGATGCAAAGGGCCCCTGTCTTTGAGCATCGACGGCTGATCTATACTTGCCTGTGGTTTGGGGGAAGAGTGGAGCTGGAATTTTCAATTCCAAATTATGTGCAGAATGCCCAGTTTTCTCCCCACTAGGACGGATCAGACGGTACAGAAAAGAGGACTCTGGTAATTCTGTTTTTGCATTTTGCAAGGTTTCTCCTCGAGCTTTACGTCAAACGTCAGGTAGGGAGGGAGTTGGGGTCCTGGCCAGCGCAGTGAGTGGAGAGGTTCTCTGACAGCCTCGCGCGCCCCTGGCCATGTTGCCTTTACTGCCCTATGACTTAGCGTGGCCCTCCCAGGGTTCCCAGGGCTGGCCGGGGTTGTTCCCCACCCGCGCATTCTCCCTCACCCCCAGCCAAACTCAACTGGCAGGGCTCCGCCGAGGCGAGACCTTTTGACTCCAGCTCCTTCACTCCCGCCTCCGTCCCCCGCCCGAGGGTGGCCCTAGAGAGCCGGATCTCGCCGGCCCGGCTGGGACCATGGTGTTTCTCTCAGGAAATGCTTCCGACAGCTCCAACTGCACCCACCCGCCGGCACCAGTGAACATTTCCAAGGCCATTCTGCTCGGGGTGATCTTAGGGGGACTCATCATTTTCGGGGTGCTGGGGAACATCCTAGTGATCCTCTCCGTGGCCTGTCACCGGCATCTGCACTCGGTCACTCACTATTACATCGTCAACCTGGCTGTGGCCGATCTGCTGCTCACCTCCACGGTCCTGCCCTTCTCCGCCATCTTCGAGATCTTGGGCTACTGGGCCTTTGGCAGGGTCTTCTGCAATATCTGGGCTGCAGTGGACGTCCTGTGCTGCACTGCGTCCATCATGGGCCTTTGCATCATCTCCATTGACCGCTACATCGGCGTGAGCTACCCGCTGCGCTACCCGACCATCGTCACCCAGAGGAGGGGCGTCAGGGCTCTGCTCTGCGTCTGGGCGCTTTCCCTGGTCATCTCCATCGGGCCCCTGTTTGGCTGGAGGCAGCCGGCCCCCGACGATGAGACGATCTGCCAGATCAACGAGGAGCCTGGCTACGTGCTCTTCTCGGCGCTGGGTTCTTTCTACGTGCCGCTGGCCATCATCCTGGTCATGTACTGCCGGGTCTACGTGGTGGCCAAGAGGGAGAGCAGGGGCCTCAAGTCCGGCCTCAAGACCGACAAGTCCGACTCGGAGCAAGTGACGCTTCGCATACACCGGAAAAATGTCGCGGCAGGAGGCTGCGGAATGAGCAGCGCCAAGAACAAGACGCACTTTTCGGTGAGGCTCCTCAAGTTTTCCCGGGAGAAGAAAGCGGCCAAAACGCTGGGCATCGTGGTCGGCTGCTTCGTGCTGTGCTGGCTGCCCTTCTTCCTGGTGATGCCCATCGGTAAGTGTTCAGGACGCCTGGGTGTGGGGTTCAGTGGCCTTCACCCTCTTCCTCTTCTGGACCCAAGATCACAGTCCCTAGTGGAAGAGGGGTCTGGGTCTCTGTCAGCAAGGGCATTTGGGAAGGCTTTCTGGTAGAAGCTGAACGTTCATTCTCTTTCTACTCCAATCTCTGGGTCCCAGGGCACTTTTCAACTACTGTAAAGTGGCTTCCAACCGGTGCAGATTAATTGGTCTCCATAATAAGAATGTCAACTTCCTTAATGCCTTTAAGTATGTGTTTAATTTAAATCTGTCCGCCCTCTTTGGTGTCTGGGAGTCTCCAAGGAGTACTTAGGCTGACTGTCAAGACAGGGAGTGCAAATTCTCTCGGCCTGAAAATAAGCACCATGCTTATTTTAGACAAATGTGCCATTGTATTATTGCATTAGGTTGTTCATAGGGGTTATAATGGTCTGCTTATTATGTTGTATAGGTGTGCTAATTTTATTTTCTGGATTAAATATGAAAGGAAAGATGGGAAACTTCTAACAACAAAAATGGTTTTATGTCTAAACCAACTTAAACCTTAAGGAGTGTTTTTCAATAATTGAAAATCGTAACGTTTTCAATAAGTAAATACTTCTACCTTTATTTTGATATTTTATTTTGATAGCAAATATTAAACCAGACACCATTTATATCCAAAATCATCTGGGAAGTTGGAGATGACATTGTTTGAAAATAACAGCATAATATTTCAAGCCCATTTTTTTTTTTGCAGATGATAAATTAGCTATTGTCAAAACTAATTAGCTCATTATAAGTATCAGCAAGCTGGTCCACTTGGAATAGTCATCTATCTCTGAAAGGCCTTCAGTGACATCCCAAAATGGTTGTTTGCTATTTTTAGTTGGTGAGTCAAATATAGACCCACACTTTGCTTATCTACTAACTCTAACAAACAAACAGTCATGGTAAAAAATTAATTAAAATTTGTTTCAAGTGCTTCAGAGCCAAGTTTAAATGGCATGGACCTAAAGTATTTAATTTGCACCCTGAGTAAAAACAGCAGCTATTATTTTTTGAATGCCAACCACATTCCAGATAATTTACCAGACTCTCTATTTCACCAGTCCTTTCAACATCTATTAACCTGAAATCACAAGTGGGGGCAGGGATTCTTCTGGCTCTAATACCAAAGTCACCAGCCACATGTAGCTACTTAAATGTGAGTTAATGATAAATAATATCAAGATTAAGCACTTCCATCCCACTAGGCATTTTTCAAGTACACAATAGCTACCTGTGGCCAGTGGCTACTGTTTTGGTAGGAGAGATATAAATTATTTCTATTATCAGACAGGGCTTCTGGAGAGGCCCTTCCCGGTCCACCACCTGGCAATCCATTGTGCCCACCTTGTCATCATTACTTGCTCTGCTCCTGGAAGTGCACCTCGGCTTTGTGTTTATGGAAATGACACCCCTTACCTGAGCCACTGCCAGTTTTCCTACCTTCCCCATCCCACCTCTTCTTGCCTTCTGGATTTCTGCACATTTATTCATGCATTTGCTCAGTCGACAAGTATTTATTGAACACTTATTTTGGATAATCAAGGATGAACAGGACAGAAAAAGCCTTGCCCATGATATTCTTGCATTCTTTGGGAGGAGATAGAAACAAACAAATAAATATACGTTTAAAAGTCAAGGATTAACAAACACTATCCAAAAGTTGAGAGAATAAGACAACAGTGAGTGGCAAGGATGACGGTCAGGAAAGTTCTACTGAAGAGGTGATATTTGAGCAGAGCCCTGGCTGATATGAACAGCAAGCCTTGCAAAATCTGGGACAGAGAGCTCCCAGGAAAAGGAACAGCCAATACAGGAATGGGAAGGAACTGGACCTGATCAAGGAAGAGCACGAGGACCAGGAGGGCTGGACTACGGACAGCAAAGGGCCAGACGAGTTCAAAAAGAGGTTGGGGAATAGGTGAAATCAAAGGCAAGTGGGTCTTCTGGCCCAAAGTAAAATTTGCATATTATTCTAATTCTGTGGAAAGCCACTGGGGGGGGGGGGGTAGCAAGTGAGTGGCTAGTCTCATTTTATATTTTTAAAGGATTGTTATATTGGTTGGAGAATGAGATTCAGAGTGGGGCAAGAGGGGATTTAGGGAGACCAAAAGTGGAGGGAAGAGAGGGCATGAGGCCTTAGATTCAGCTGGGGCAGGTGGAGGTGGCCAGGAGCGATCATGTCCAGCACTTACTTCAGAGGTCAAGCTAACACATTTGGACATAGAGTATGACATAAGGTAATGAGTTATTCAGGACTGTGGCCTGGATAAATAGGTAAATGGTAGCACATTTTACCGAGATTGGGAAAGCCTGAGAATGGGAGGGCCTGGTGGAAGTGGGCATTCAGAGCATTGATTTTATATGCACTGCTGGGAAATATCCGTTAACATCTGAGTGGAGATATAGATATATTAATTTGGAGCTTATAGGAGAAGGCGAGATTAAAATCTGGGACGTGCAGAGGTATACAAAGAAGCAGGAGAGCTCTACCAAGAGAGAGGAACTGAGAAAAAGAGAAAGGTAAGAAGTGAGCCTTGGGGGTCAGGAGAAGGAGGACCAGCCTGCAAAAGCAATGGAGGAGAGACCCAGGAGGCAGCAGGAAAATGGGGGGAAGTGTGATGGGTCTGCAGCAGGAGGGAAATGGAATAGTCAACTGTGTCCCACAGAGCTGCAGGGCCCAGCAAGGGGGGCAGTAAGGACCAGGGATGGGCTTGGCAATGGGAGGTCCTCAGGGATGGAAGGGGTTCACGTGAGGCTAACAGCTTCCCTGGAAGGATAGCAACTAAAGGCCGACCGTTCTTTCTAGAAGGAATGAGAGATGGAGTGCAGCAGGGAAAAGTGACAACCCTTTGGAGGTTTCTTCCTAGAGTAGTAGAGCGAGGAAAGGGTGTGCAACTGGAAGGCTCCAGAGAGTTTCAAAGGCGGGAAATGTGGCAGGCATCGTGGTGACATTTCAATGAGAACAATGGACTAGAGAGACTCTGGGTGACATAGGCCAGTGATAGGATTCTGTGCCCCAGGGAGGTTGGGAAGTGTCAGGAAGCCTTGGGGATGAGCACCAGGTGGATATGGAGGGAGAGAGGAAGGTGTCTCCCAAGTGTTTTCACAGCCTCCATGAAACAAGAAGCAAGATCATCGGCTCAAAGTGAGGCAGTGGTAGTCTGAGGAGCAAATGAAGATGTGGACTCTTGGGGTAGGAGAGAAAATAGATTACGGAAATTGAATGACAGGAGGTCCCGAGGGCCAGTGTGGGATTTATGTCATGAACCTAAAGTAGAACATTCAAGAGTCTGCTCTCCCCCCACCCCCCAGTGAAGCAGCCATGGCTAGAGGACATGACCAGGATAGACTGTGAGTTCCAGGGATCGAGTGAAGAGCCAGGTCCCTTCATGGACACGGGCTGGGTCAGATTAGGGAACATGCAGAGTCAGATGACAGAAGGAGCCCCGGGATGACCGGTGACCTGACGTTTGGGGTTGTGCTGGTGACTGGGCTCTGACGGGAAATGATACACCGTGGCCTGGGTTCTGGTGACCCCAGGGGAAGGTAGACTTTCTGGTCTCACTGCAGACTCCCTCCTGGGTCTGTGCTCTCAGGGTGCTAAGATGTTGGGTTACAGGAGAAAAACAGTTAACAATCTGACTGGGCTGCTCAGGGGCACAAAGGATCCCTAAGTCTCACCAATCTGGGGTCTGCAAATTCCTCTACCACCCAACAAGGGAGAGGGAGACCATTTGGCAGTTTAATAAGTAATGGGCACAGAACTAAAATTAAAGGATGAATAGAGCACACTTCATCCCCCCCGCAGGCCCTGCAGGACAGTTGAGGAGACTCTCTGTGAACCATTAGCATAGGTCTGGAAGATGGGCCCTCACAGCGGTGTTATTACCAGGAGGTAAAGAATAGAGCTGTTATCTGCACCCAGAAGTCACTACAGAAGGTTCCAGAAGTAGTGCCGTGGACTGAGCATGTTCTTAAAGACCATACTACTTCTGTTGGCCATCTGCAAAATGTTATCTGTTTTTATTAACAACCTTAAAGCACATTTTTCATGCAAAATGTGATCAGAAAAATAAATACGCCATTATGTTATCATACCCAAGGGACGAGAGCTCTTAAGTAGACAAATGCTCTCTTGGGAAAAAGAGGTTATCAGCCTGCATGAGGCTGCCAGAGAGCCAAGGGATCCAAACTAACCAGGGCAGGGACGAGCGTGGTGTGCGGGCTACAAGGTGATGCGCCCTCATGCGATGGGAACTGACCAGGAAAATCAAGAGAGAGGTTCGCTTCCTGGACTCCACAGTGTGGGGTGGGTGGAGTCTGACTGGCCTGTTCCGAGGCCCAATCTTGCCAATCTTGCTTCCTTTTTCATCCCAAATGTTTGGTTGAAATTCAGACCCCTTCATCAGAGGAATGCGGCATTTGAGGTTGTTATCCGTCATTGATTCCTTGGGGAGAATGCTTGGAAAAAGCAGCTTGGTCCACAGTGGGATGACTAGAGGGAACAGGAGGGTGTTAGCCTTCATCCAGGGACCCAGCTCCACTGCAGCTGCGTCATCTTCGCCTGTTTTATCCCCTTAGCTAGAGCCCACCAGTTCCAGAGGCCACATCCCAAATGGAAAAGTAGGGCCCTGAGATTTAAACCTAGGCTTTCTTTTCCATAAAACAGGGTATCCTATGCAGGCCAGCTTCCTCCCATAGCACCCAGCACAGAGCAAATGTAACACGTGTCAATCTTACCAGGATTCATAAGAATCACAGACCACTACTGACAGATGTCCACATGCAGATGTTTCCAGGAGAGGTGACTCTCCTTGGAGGTATGAGAAAGAAAGGATAGAAGAAAGGAGGGACTGAGGAGCCCCTTCTATTGAAGACATGGTTAGGACTCTGAATTCTGATCATGTTATCTGATGTAAATACAAAAGCCAGCATTATTCTTGGACC